GATGCTCTTCAAAATAACAGAGAAAATTATCCAAGAACTGCTTTTGAACAAAAGAAAATGAAACCAGGGTAAATTTAACCCTGGGTTAAGCACTAACCGGCCTGCGAAAAACTGGGTCCTGGATAGTAGTGTGCTGTGCAGGGACCTTGACACACGCGGTATGGGCTAAGGCGAGAGCAGCTCTCTTTCACTCTTCACGCGCGTTTTATGTAGTTTCGCTTGTAATGAGTTGTTTTTGCGGCAACCTGATATCACAAGTTGTTGGAAATCTAGAGAAAAATTACACGGAGGAAAGTTAGTGTACAGGACACGTTGCCTTGTGTTTTTAAAAGGACACAATTACATGTAACAAGCGTGGGTCAATTGCTTGCGCTGTAGATTATGCCGACGGGGACGAAATTCAACAACTTCCCCGCTTTCATTCTTAGGGAAGTAGGAAAAAGCGTTTCTTCTGTGCTCCATTGTTCACCTTTTCTGACAAGTGCTTCGTCTTCCGGCGGCATCCGGTTATTTGTTATGAAAGTGTGTCGTGACGCGTGGGAAATAACGTCATTCCATTTATTGCGGAATGGTATTCAGGTCAATCAGGAACGCAGCCAACAAAAATTAAGGGTATTGCAAACAATCATAGTTTTACAGCAAACCTGCGAATAGTGCTTACATTCACTGGACTGTGTTTCGTTCTGCGAAAAGAAAGCTCTACCGACAATCGACCATTTTCTGTCGTGCACGATTGGATTGGTGCATCAAAATTATCACTTCCCTTCATGACCGCAGGGTGTGCAGCGGTGTGACACAACTTTGATAGGGAACCCTCGAGCACACAGGCACGTAGGCACATCGTGGCCTTTTATAACCTCTATAATTATTTGACGAATGATCAGTGAGACCATAGTTATTAGAGGAGACTGGTTATGAAAAGCGGCAAACATCAATGATAAGAACAACAGTGCTGCAGTTTATGTTGGAAGTACCGTGAAAGTGCACAATCCTTTGTTTTCTGTTGGCAAATTGTTACGGAATAAATTAATGCAACGTTTTTATTGGTCAATACAATCAAAATGATAGGAATTCTTTTGAACGTTGTGCACTTTCAGGTCCACAAAAACATATAACAAAGGAGTCTGACGGGGTGTCATAACCATTCCACTCAATTAACTATGGTGAGACGGAAACTAAACAGTTCAACTTCCAGTTACACTCCCCTTTTAGCTTCCTATGGACGTCACTCCCGTTTACAACGATCCGCACATTTGAGTCTCTTTTTCATTTCCCTGGTCTGCATTATAAATTGCGTTTGCAAGCTACATGTTAGTTCAGTGTCTTTTCCTCCCATAGAGGGATATAAGAGTAATATAACTGTTACAGCGGTATCGAGGAGTGAGAGCCAGCCCTTCTCGCGCTTCAGTAAATAAGTTTGATAAATAGACAATTGGAGTAATTCTTTAAAAGGTAAGGATTCTTTCTTCGATTTTAATCACTAAACTATGAACCCTACAAGAAGGAGAGAAGATATCACCTAGCTTCCTCCGGATAATCTTTAACCAATGCAATACTATTCAATTCAATACTGTCAATTCATTTATATAAGTTGCGAATAGAGCCGTTTTCTCGCTCCTAGCCTCTAGGGACGAAACTTCCCTAACGGCAAAGAACAAGGAGAGACGGCTGTATTCAAAGACTAGGTAGTTCATTCAAGAAGCTGTCCTCGCTTGAATGAGAATTTCAGAAGAGCAATAGGTTTAATCAGCAAACCATTAACTCTTCAAGTACATCACGCTTTTGCGTACACTTCTTCGCCATCACTGGACGACTGCAACAGGTTCAGTCTAAGGCGGGTAGAATCATTGTCTTGGAACATAGGTATTGGTTGATTTTGTGAACTACCTCAGCGTAACAGTTACAATGCCGAGTGGTACTAAATAGAAGGCAATCACGTGTCATGTGACTGTCCTATAGCGAAGCTGAAGTTTTCTTTTTTTCAAGCTATTTATGTTGTTGATTATAACGATTATTCTATCGATCTGCGGCATTGTTATCCTTGCTGTCATGTTCATGTCATCGCCTAAGCGTATTTTTCAATATTTGTAAGTTGAATGCAGTTGATGATAGATCCAATCCCTCGCTCTGGTTGGGGGATATTTGTTAGATCCATCCAGACACGTGACCATCGTGTCATCATCTGGGTCATGAAACAAAACCAACGATCGGCGAGGAACTCTGCGCTTGATTTCCTCCTCAGGAATCAGCACTCGATGAACCTGTTTTATGGAAGGAAAAAAATCGTTAAAACGCACTAATAATTCACAAAATAAAAGAAACAGAAGCTTAAAAGTTAACTTTCAATGAGTGTCTTCAGATCTTTCTAAAGATCTGAAGAATTTTCTCCGACTTTTTCTAAAACTCAAATCGGTTACGGTTATTTTAATAAATGACCGAACAAAATACTCAGGAGATATTCAGATTGTTAGAGCTGCACGGTGGGATGAATTAGGTACTCAAATTTACTTCTATAACGTACATATTAACCAATCATGGCTTGTGGCATATTTTTTGATCGAGGGATCGAGGTTAGTTTATAATTTATTGTTTAAACTCACCACAGACTTGTATCGATCTGATGTCCACCTTTGCATCAGGTCATCAATATTGACCAACACTGCTCCTTTCATGGGCTTGGCGGGTACAAACTGTCCATCAACATTGGTCACCTGAATCAAACGTTCGTTATACATGTTATTAGTCTATATTGGCCTAAAAAAGTAGCAATATTGAAGTAAAGTTAAAATGATCCGGACAAAGGAAGTGTTAAACAAATGTTAAGATAGTATCAGAATTAGGTTTCTCAGTTGAGTTCTTACCTCCAGTCCACCAACATCGTCTTGAATCAGCAATGTAATCCCACCATAATCCGTGTGTTCCCCACAGCGAATCTGACCCGGCTTGATTTTACTAAGGTCTGATATCATTGGATAATAGTTGTATCTTAACTGAGAACCACCTTCGGAAGTGCCTGTCTTTTGCCAAGCAAAGGAAAACGTGTCTGGATCCTGGATAGCGCAAAATTAAAAGAAAAGAAGCTTTTAAACCGTTTAAACTGTGTATACGAAGAAAAATAACATTGCCTGCATTGAGGAAAAACAAAGAGCTGTCTGAAGTAACCGCCAATCACAAAACAAGCAAACTTGTAAGAATGAACCAATAACAATTCGAAGGAAATTTGTGCAACAGGCCATTATTATGAGCGCGAGGAAATTGTACTTTTTTTCTAACCAGCCCCAGGAAATTGCGGTTGTGCTTATGATTGGCTGAGAAAAAGGCGCGAGTTCTAGCCTCATACAAGTCGGCTGTGAAATTACTTTGGTAGTTGGAAACTCAATCTCAGTCTAATGAGCAAACTAATACACCCTATGGGGTAAACAGGGGAAGAGATAGATTTGATCGCTATGCTGGCAATTAATTTCAGGACTCCTTGTCAAATGTATCCTCCTCCTAAATTACCCGGGGGGTGGAGTACTTCGGCTTTCAAGTGACAGGGATGACCGAATGGGGCCAAAAATCAAACCCCCCTCCCAAATCCCTAGGGCCTCCAACAAAACCCCAAAAATACCATGCCGAATTTCTGAGTCGATCATCCCTGTCACTTGTTGAAATCCGGAGTACCCCCCTGGGTTTAAATTCTGACTATAATCATAAAGATTTTTTAGAGTTTCTCACTTCACAGCACTCTCAGCAGAGTAAAATTTACATCTCATCTCACACCATAAAACTACGTTCAAACGGTAGCTAAACGTTTGATCGCTTTCAAACTTTGGGCAACATTAATTAATCCCAACAACACGCAACAACATGCAACGGGGTGTGCAAACGGACGCAACATGTAACATCCAACATTGGTGGGAGTTGTTGGCCAACAATGTTGCGTCCATTTGCAAGGGGCTTAAGAGAGTCACGTGGCTTACACACTATCTAAGATTATTTCGCTTTTTACTTAGAGTTTAGGAATTATATTTCAGTGCTCACATCTGTAAATCCTACCTTCCCAAAAAAATAATACAATAAAATCGATCTTACCAGATCAAGGCCAATGGCTATGACAGACAGCATTCTTGAACCAAGGCTTGTCATGTACTGAAAAATGGTTCGAACAGTGCTTTGAAAGTTTGGCACTTCCTCGTTGGGCCAGGTCTGTGGAGTGGCAATTGATTACACGTTAGATATATTCTTTACGGCAGATCAGAGCCAGATAGAAATAATTGACAATCCCTGCCTAATTTCATTTTGGTATTTTTCATTTCATGAAGAGGTAACTTTTGACTAAAATGACATTTGAGGCAAAATTGGTGGCGTCTGCCACCATATTCATTTGTAAGCGTTCCAAAACCAAAGTCGTGTTAAGTTTTCCTTTTAACTCTTGTGAGTCGGTGTACAAATTCCTATATGTAATCATTCGAAAATCAAACCCCGCTTTACTAGCAATTTCATATGGTGCCATTGTTTTAGTTGCAAAACGAAATTCGCCGCCGTTCTGATTAACTTCAGGAGAAAGTTCCGCCAGAAAATCAACCACAGAACTATCGATATGTTTTCAGCAAAAAGCGGAGGACCCGTTCCAGTCGAGTGTTCCTAAACGATTTCTCACGGAGTTTCCAAGGTGCTGTTGTAAATGTTATTGTGAAATAAATTTGCAACAACCACTTACAAAGTTTTCATCTTCCAGGACGCTGAAGTCAAATGATTCTTTGAGGTCTCCAGGTCTTTTTAAGTTGGTGCTGCAATTTGACACAAAGTTTCGGTGACGTCATAATAGGGAGCTTAAGCAACGACGTTTTTGAGCGACGCACGTCAACCGGAAGTTGCCCTTTTTCATTTTTGGGCGATGGTTTTGCCCAAATTTTCAGTCAAATCGTCTCTATAGGAGTAAACAAACTAAGCAATACAAATTACATAGCGTCAAGGGAAAAGTCCTCACTTCCGGTTGACGTCCGTTGCTCAAAAACGTCTTTGCTTAAGCTCCCTATTAGTTAACGTCGCGCACTCTACTGAAAAACTCCCTTCCAATGAATGCACTCTAACAGCAAATGTAAAAAGGTGCCCATAATATTCGGTTGATTTGTTGGTTGTATCCATTGCTCTGAGATTTTTTTTCCTGGTACTCCGGATTTCCCATCTCCTCAAAAAACCAAAACTTCCAAATTCCACTTCAATCTAGAACGCACGGGCACACGAGTTCTTCAAAACGCTTTAACGTGTTTCGTGGGTAAATAAATATCATAATAACAATTCAATAACAATTAACTACAAATTAAAACCAGTTTAGTCGTAGAGACGAGCATAGTACTCTACGTGGCTTCACTGCGTCTCGTAGGATGCAGCGTGGCCGAGTGGTCAGCGCGTCAGACTCGAAATCCGGCGGTCCCGGGTTCGAGTCCCGCTCTGGCCACTTGCTGGATTTGTTCTCGGTCGTCCCGAGTTCAAATCCCCGGCCTCGCCTGTAAATAGCCAACTGGTTGCCTCCTGCCAGTTGGGGTTTTAAATCCTGTTATGTTGCATTTGAATTATTTGTTTTCTAAGTTTTCTACTGATTGTAAAGCGCTTTGGATCACTAAGAGAAAAGCGCTATATAAGTGTACATTATTATATTATTATTATTGCGTCTCGTAGGATACAGAGCTTCTAATATCTGAATCGTTCGAAAAACGTGCTCACTCTTATACGAAAAAATCTACACTGTATAATCTCTTATCTTGCTTTTAATTAGTAACATCTAAAATAAACATTTAATAAGTGCATGTAATCGAGCGTCTACAGATGTATGGACACTTTAATAGTGCGGAGGATCTGACTATTTATCGGGTTATTAGCTAGTTCTATTGCTCTAGGCCAGAAAGAGAATCCACACAATTCAGTCCTACCTCTATCACTGTACTCATCGGACATTTCTAAAATGCATGCAGACACTACGGTCTTTCCCTTTTGGATTCCTTATTGCAGTAAAAGGTTGGAAGAATTTTCTTCCGTAGAGGTATGTAATAAAGTAGGTATACCTTTCCCTTTCAAGCTCATCCCAGCCATTCTTTGTCGTTCCAGTTTTCTTTGTATATTTTCTCTTTACATCAATGTTCAAGTTAAAAAACTTGTCATAAGTCTCGAAAGTGGTGTCAATCTGCAAGGTACAAGGATCATTAACAAAGTAAAACAAGCAAGTAATCTAACTGAGACAAACCAACACATCATTACTTAAGTAGGATGGTTATGAAACACGTTACACTCCTTTGTGATTACATGGAGGTGGGGGACCCCAGGTAGGTGAGGTAATCCGCTTAGGTGGGGTAACCCACATGGTGAGCAAACGACCACAACAAATTTACACTATGAGTGACGATCAAAAGAAATAATTCCAACCAATATTCCAAGAATTCTACCAAACTTTAACCAAGGATCTAGCTAAATAGTCGCCTACACAAAGATTGCAGTTAGATTTGATTCAGACCCGCCTTGATAATAAAATCTAGCGCTAGAGCTAAGGCATATAAAACCTGATGTTCTCGACGGCAATCCTGCTGTGGACGCTTTTAGTACTCTTGTAAAGGAACGAGCTAGTTTCCCCGAAATGTTGCAAGTTTCGTTCAACAGGTATAAATTCCGTCCACTCTACGGTTCTTACAACAGGTCATAAGAACAGGATAAACTTGCCGTTTCCTGTGGGATTCCATGGTTTGTAATATAGACGAATCCAATTGTGCTGAAAGCTTGGTACACTTGTTTAGCAAGGTCTTTAACAGCTTGGCTGCTTTGATCGGGATCCTTGACGTCTAGACTCATTGCATTGAAGTCTACCACTGGAATTGGACATGATGGATTGGGCGCCATGTTAAACTCTTCACAGGGTTGACAAAAGCAGAACCTATAAATCAGTAAAAATAAATGAATAAGACAATAATAATTCTAATAATAATAAATTAATATTTAGGTTTGCCGTGAGAACTGAAGTCACTTTCATGGCACAGTTTTCGAGAGCATACGTGTGCAGAACTTCTGCTTAAGACAGTGTTAAGACGTCCGTCATAGAACATATACTTTTAATACAGTTTGTATTTGTTCTTTATAATTTATCTTTTGCCTTTTGTATAAAGTAAAGAGTGTCAACTGAAGCAAACTGAATTTGCCGGAAATTAAGGTATCGGTTGTGACTTTCAAATTAGGGCGATATTGCAAAGATTTCCGTGACACACTAAGCACTCGGGGCAAAATGCGGTGACATAAATACACCCAAAAATCTCAAATGAGGCTGGCTTCGGGCACAGGTAACCCAGGCTCGTCACGTACGCCACCTGAATTAGTCTGCTGCGAAGCCATGATAATACAGAAATATCAGAGTGTCATAAATGGTTGCAAAAACAGACGTTTCGGGTGTATAACCCTTCGTCGGTGAAAACCGTTAAACTTGACCCATGTCATCGATAGACACATGAGACTAAGGTGGTTACGAACTGCACATTATATGTGACCAATAGTAAAAAATTATGCAATACTTACTCGTTGACGTACCTAGCCTGGATCGAGGATGATATATCACGAAACAATAATCTAAACACCGACACGGGAAGGTTTCCAATGATGTGTACAGTTCTGTAGTCCTTCTACTCATTAGATTTGACCCTTGTCCTGACTAGGCTTTAGATGTATTGACTATTTTAAAAAGCACAGACTATATACGGTACAGTTACCTAAACTGTTCAGATTTATCTTCACAAGGGAACTCAAAACTTTTGCGATCGGTGGACCTCGCCGCCACAATCGGTAAAAATTGTCATCGATTCGTTTGTACATATCAAAATTGATCCGCTAAGCAAGTTTTACCGAGAATAGACAAGATTTTTTGTATAAAAGTATACATCTAAATCCCTATTGCTTCTAGACATCCAACACTCCAAGTATAGAGCAATGCGTTTTAGGAGTTTGATCATGAGTATTGTACACCTTTAAATTAATGATGGTATTACAAGGGCTTCTGATAGGTCGCAAAAAAAAAAAAAAAAAAAAAAAAAAAAAAAAAAAGAAAGGTTTAGGTTAATAGGTTGAACAGTGCAGATATCCTTGACCTACCTTTCTATCGATCTTGATACACAAAACGACGTTAGAAAACAACAAGCAAAAGCAAACGTTTGCGTGTTCCTGATGATATGCATGCATGGTATGTTCTTATTGGGCAAAAGAATGACACGTGCCTATAAACAGAAAAGGGAATGGTCACGCAACTGAAAAACGAACGAATTTCATACGTCTGCAAGTATCTATCATAAATGCATGTTCCTGACAGCCTAGTTGATTTCATTGCACTCTTTTCGGTATTGTAATAGGATGACCATAGCATGGGATCAATTTCTTTAAGAATTTGTTCTTCTCAAAAGTCCTCTTTGACCTTAAACCGTTTCCTCCACACGCATTCGCACACACAATACTAGCTCTGGACCCATTAATTTCAACGTAATAATTTACTAATAAAGCAATGCACAAATAAAAAATCGTTTGAAAGGTATTAAACGTCGCCTGTTTTGCACATTTTCTCGATATTACAATACTCATTTACTTACTCCAGGGGGCCTAGAAACTAGCCATTCTTCAATTATTCGTTCCAGATTCCTCGCGTCCATCTAGTAAAGACAAAATGGCGGCTACAGTGACGGATATTCCTGTTGTGGACTTCAGTGCAATGAGCCTAGATAACAAAGATCCTCTGTCGGAAAACGGCCAGGCTATCAGGATAGTAGCCAATGAAGTTTACAGAGCTTTTAGCACAACTGGATTTGTTTATCTCAAAAATCATGGGATTTCAAAAGAGACGGTAAGTACAGAGCAAAATTCGAAATTAATTCGAACTTTAGGGCCCTTTATAGAAAATACGCGACTTTTCTAACAGTGTTGTGTAAATAAATGTGTTGTACACTTATTTTGGAGGGTTAAACCTCCAATCCCTGCTTAGTGGCTACAGAGGCAGCTTTCTAATTTTTATATTAGTCTTTACAAGCTTAATTGCGCAACGTGAAGTTTTTAATTAGGAGCAATAATAATTATAATAATAATTATTGACCTCCCAAGTTTCAGCATTAACTACTTTCCATTTACAGTCACCACAGCTGTATTAGATGAAAATGAAAATTCTGTTATGATCAGCATTGTAGGGCGCAATCCATTCAACCAAAATTTCCGGAAATTTGGGTCCAAAACTCAGTGGATCGGTTCGGTCCAACCGGAAAAGTTTCGAAAAAACTGGTCCACCTTTTGAGGTGGACCACCTTTCCCAGTCGGACCGGTCTGATGTTTGGTTGAATGGATCATGCCCATAGTCATAGGAGTTGTCATGACAACATAATGGCATTATTACTTAATATTGTACTGGCGGCCATATTTCCCACTATTGGAGGTCTTTTTCCAAAAATTGTTTATGGGAGCTTGTACCCACAATAGCCATCTCACGTGGTTTCCTAAATTATTATTCTCTGTTTCATTGTCATCCCATCTAAAATAAAAATGCAAACCATTCAATACAGAAAGTCCAGAAACTGGGAAATGAAAGAAGTTAAATTCAAAAAGCCTTGCCAAGAACCAGGTCTGTGTGATATTTCATATGCAAGATATTCGAAGAAGCGTTTTACCCAAATTTATAAAGCTTTGTATGGAGTCGCCACGTTAGTGTCTGTTTGAGGGGCACAAATATGGCTGCCGGAAACCAATAGAAACATAAATAAGTCTTTGAGTTTTCTTGGGGGATGCAAAAGTGCAAAAACATCACTTTGAGGAACTCATAGCTATTAAAGTTATATTTATTCAGAGACAAGTAATGTTTAGATACGGCAAAATCTAAAAAAAATCGGTAAAGTTTTTAACCCATATAATAGCTTTCCAGGCTGCCAGCTAAATGCCGCATCATGCAAAAGCCTGAAAATTCAATCGTTCTCTATCACAAAACAAAGAACCCTTTCAAACCAAAAATTTG